GCCGAAAAGAGCACGCCATTTATTACCTTACCAAAAAGTTTACCGACTGTGAGACCCGATACTCACTGCTCGAGAAAACTTGATGCGCTTTGGTATGGGCTGCTCACCGGCTGAGACAGTATATGCTGACTCACACTACTCTGTTGATTTCAAAGATGGATCCAATAAAGTACATATTCGAAAAGCCTGCTCTGTCTGGGAGAATAGCAAGATGGCAAATGATCTTGACAGAATACGACATCCAGTACACGACTCATAAAGCCATCAAAGGAAGTGTATTGGCAGATCATTTGGCACATCAGGCAGTAGATGACTACCAGTCAATGAACTTCGAGTTTCCAGACGAGAGCATCATGATAGTAACTGATTGTGAAGTACCTGGGCCGGATGAAGGACCTGAGGAAAGATCCCGATGGTCTATGCACTTTGATGGAGCCTCCAACGCTTTGGGTAACGGTATCGGCGTTGTGATCATATCCCCTCAAGGCACTCATACTCCACTTACTGCCCGGCTATGTTTCAACTGCACCAACAACATGGCGGAGTATGAGGCATGCATCATGGGTATTCAAGCTGCAATTGACCTAAGGATCAAGTTTCTGAGTGTCTTCGGAGATTCCGCTCTCGTGATCAATCAGATCAAAGGCGAGTGAGATATGAAACATCCGTATCTTATTCCTTACAGAGAATGTGTGTTGACATTAATTCCCTATTTCACAGAGATAACCTTTGAACACTTTCCAAGAGAAGAGAATCAGTTGGCGGACGCGTTAGCTACGATGTCTTCCATGTTCAAAGTCAAGTGGGACAATGAGGCTCCCCGGATCATTATCTGGAAACTGGACGAACCGGCATACTGTTGTGATCTTGAGGCTGAAGAGGTAACTGCGAAACCTTGGTATCATGAGGTGAAGAGGTATCTGGAAGCTCAAGAATACACTGAAGGTGCATCCGTCAACGATAAGAAGTTTCTGAGAAGGTTCGCAGCAAAGTTCTTCCTCAGCAACGGCATTCTATACAAGCGAAACCATGATTCGACCTTACTGCGTTGTGTGGATAAGACTGAAGCAGAAAGAATCATGGCAGAACTGCATGAAGGTACCTTCGGAATGCATTCCAGTGGACACACCATGGCAAAGAAGATCCTTCGGGCAGGATATTTCTGGTCCACAATGGAAGTCGGCTGTTACCAACATTCTCGGACATGTCATAAATGCCAGATTTATGCAGATAAGGTGCACGTCCCTCCAGTTCCTCTGAATGTCTTGACTGCACCTTGGCCTTTCGCAATGTGGGGCATTGATATGATCGGCGAGATTAAACCTACGGCATCCAACGGGCATCGCTTCATCCTGGTAGCAATTGATTACTTTACAAAGTAGGTTGAAGCAGCTTCCTATGCTACAGTAACCAAGAATGTCGTGGCACGGTGCATTCGGCATAATCTGATCCGTCGATACGGCGTCCCAGAAAGAATCATTACGGACAACAGTACCAATCTTAATAACAAGATGATCACTGAGCTCTGCGAGCAATTCAAGATACAGCACCACAACTCTTCTCCCTACCGGCCGAAGATGAATGGGGCTGTAGAAGCAGCTAATAAGAATATCAAGAAGATTGTGCAGAAGATGACAGTGACCTATAAAGATTGGCACAAGATGTTACCGTTTGCTCTTCATGGATACCGTACCTCAGCAAGAACTTCAATCGGGGCAACTCCTTTTTCCTTGGTCTACGGCATGGAAGCAGTCTTACCGATTGAAGTGCAGATACCCTCTCTCCAGATAATGAAGGATGCAAATCTGAGCGAAGATGACTAGATCCAGACCCGACTTGATCATCTAAACTTAATCGGCGAAAAGAGACTCACTGCTATTTGTCATGGTCAAACGTACCAAAAACGGATGATCAGGGCATTTAACAAGAAAGTCAGACCACAAGAGTATCAAGTTGGGGACCTGGTAATCAAACGCATCATCCTTCCTCAAAGTGATCCCAGGGGCAAATGGACCCCTACGTACGAAGGGCCATTTGTGGTTAAACATGTGTTCTCAGGAGGAGCCATGATTCTAACCACCATGGATGGTGACGACCTTCCTCACCCCGCCAATACAGACATAGTAAAAAGATACTACGCATGATAAAAGACCCGCTAGGTTGACATACCTAGGCAAAAATTAGGGCTTCCTGGCGAACCAAAAGGGTTCGGGCAAAATAAGGGATGAAATGAAAAAAAATCTGTACACCCGGCAAGTCGAAAACCTGAAAAGGCGGCTTGGGCAAAAATGGGTATCCCGGTGGACTGAAAACCCGAAAGGGCGGTCCAGGCAAAAGTTAGGGATTAAAGCGTAATACTATGTCTCATTGGATCACCTTGCATCCAGAATCTGGTATCAGACATCAAGTTCAAACGGCATCGATCAGTCAGCTTCATCTTCAACTGAGCAGCAAAGTGATGAGACGCTCGAAGATATAAAGGCGATAGCAGAGTTGGAACCCAGTGGGATTATTCTTTTCACATAGCTGTTTTGTTTTCCCTTTTTTACAAAATTGTATAAACTCTGTTGTTCGGCGGCGTTCTCTTACTAGGACGTCAGCCTCTTGTACAAAAACGCCTATTTACAGGCAATTCAAAAATCAATACAAATTCACTTTTCAGACAAATTGCCATTTATTTTTCCTTTTTCTGTTTTGTTTTGTGAAGAACGTCCAAGGTTCAATTTGTGATATATGCATTTGACACTAATTGCTAAACTCATAAATATTTGCATATGAAACAAAGGATTAATTACAGGTAACATTAGAAACAGGGGCAATAATGAGTTGTCTAAGCGATCTAATTGCTCTGTCCACCCAGGTACCAAGGTAAGTTCGGCTGAAGAATGTAACCAAGATATCTTAATTCCCCAGAGAGTGAGCCAGCAAGTCAGCGATACTCTCCCCAAGCAGAGTTAGTCCATTGTCAGCCTTAAGGAAATTGGGTATCCTCAGCAGATCTCAACATTCCTCAGCGGAGTATACAAACATTCTTAACAAGCATCCCCGGCAGTCTTGATCTAAGATTGTTCCTGTAGCGGTGAAAATCGGAGATCAAGCTATTAATTAACTTGACTCACAAAAGCAAGAGTCGCCACCGCGCTTTATTATTTCCAAGGGAAAAGGGAAAAGAGCGAAATAAAACCCTAAAACATGCAATGTAAAGTAATATTTAAAAGTAATGAAAATACAATGCGTTTTTAAAAGAAATTGAGAGTTCGGGGGTTGGTTATACAATGGGAAGGTATTAGCACCCAATGCATCTGCGGTACTCCGCAGGAACCTTTTGAAATATCTGTTTTTGGTTAAAATCGTTTGTTTGATTACAATGGTTCGTTTGGCTAAAAATCGGTGTTGGAGAGATTTTTGAAAATCCGACGAGCTAATGTCGAAGTTTTTACTTAAAAGGTGTAAGTTGGAAAATGGAGTCTTTTGGGAAAATTATCTTGAATCTAGCAAAATAGTAAACAAACAAAAGATGAATGAGGGTATTCGTACGATTGGATGAGATGGGTTTGATGACGTGAAGTCAACAAAATTTAAATCTTTTCCTTGGAGTTAAAACCATAGACGGATAAATAAGCTAAGAGTATATCAAACCTTAGGTGAAAATAAATCACAAGCCGACAGCATCATCAAAAAAACCTAATGTGAGATAATACTCCAAGCATCAGATAAAGCGCAAAGGCGGTGGATAAAGCTCACAGTGTCAGATAAGAATCCCTGCATCACAAGAGATATACCGACAAAATCTAACAGCACGGGAAACTTATGTGCGTCCGCACAATTTTCAGAAGTTAGTTGGAATTAAAAATAAAATCATAATGCGATGAAAATAATATTTTCAAAACCTGAATTTATTTACAACTAAAATATACAGTCAAAATATTATGTACAAGTATGTATTTACAGTACCAAATATTAAATCAAAATAGTAAGGTAAAAAGGGAATAAAGAAAAATTATAAATGCGCTACGCGGGAACGAACGCTTGAAATTGTTCTCGAAAACCTTCACAGTAAGCAAATTTGTTAGTAGCATAAGCGGTATACAAATTAAAATGAAACGAAATTGCAACAATTAAAATATGTGTTAGTGAGTATAAAATCAAAAATAAAATTGTATGAATACATGTGAATAAATGAATATTTACACAAATCAAAATCAAGAATTCATGAAATTATTCAATTCAAAATCGAACACGGAAAATTGATTCCAATTCAAGAATTATTCAATTAAACCGAATTTTGGACAACCACTATATCTATGCATTAAACTCCATAGTTCCAATTGAAAAAAATTCTAAACTAATGAGGAACAAATTAATTATTAAAACTAAATTTAAATTCTCCAAAATTGACAACAAAAAAACTAAAAAATGTCAACAATACCCATTTTAACACAATTGTTTCAAAAACTCTACAATTCAACTAAAAGAAACACATCACATTAATTTCAATTCAAAATATTAATTAGAAAGGAAAATGAGTCTTAAAAAAAAGTGTTGTTGCCATTTGAAATTGAAAGAGGACAACAGAGGAAATTGGCAAAACATTGCTACTGTTATTCACGTTCACCAAGCCTTTCCCTTACCACTACGACATGTTTTTCATTTCAATTTAAAAAAAATCACCAAAGTTTCTATTTCACAATCAAAGTTCCAATTACAATCAATAATCATCATCATGTTATCAATTAAATTAGCAACCTAAAACTAACATCTCAAATTCAATAATTATAAACAAAACCAATTTAACCAAAAACGAAACAAACATATCACTCAAAATTGAATTAACAGCACAACAATATTCCTCTCATTATTCTATCCAAACAAACCTTTAACCATTTCAAACTGCAGGAAAAAAAAGAAAACTAGAGAAGAAAGTACCGAACCGTGTCGAAAATGAAAGTTACTAGCCAAAGTCGTTGACGGTAGCGGATGCGCACGAACAGAGGGAGGCTTCAACTGGAAATCGCGAGGCAAGCAGCGGAGGAAGAAGCTGCAATATCAGCCGAGGTAGTAGTGGCGATGCGGATGAAGGTGGACTGTAGGCGCTGCAATTGAACAAAGGGCAGCGGTTTCGGTTTGTGGTGGAAGGCGGAAATGGTGGTGGTGTTGTTCGTGCAGAGAGGGTGTTGAAACCATTTTGGTCTTTTTGAACCACTGGTGGTGGCTGTCACGGTAGTGCTTCCATTTCTGGAGTTGCTCTTTTGAAACACACGTGATATCGCCCATTCATCCTTGGAGTTTCTAGAGAGGAAATGGTAAGCAAATTTGCCTTCAAGACGATATTCATGCATAACCCAGTTACTCTTTTCACCTTTGGGTGCTCTTCCTCTGTAGAAAACAAGGGTTTTCTTCATTGCAACGAGAGAGTAGGTTTTGGAGCTGTAAATCTCTCTGTCTTTTCCTGTTGCTTTCCAATAAATTGAGGTAGGCCATGGAGCTCATTGAAATGAACATCAAGATATCTTAAAGATTTCATTTCTCCAATGGAAAGAGGAAGAAACCGTAACTTGTTCAAATAGATCAAAAGCTTCTCGAGGTTAACGAGTTCGTAGGCCATGTTCGTTGGCAGACAAATTAAGTTGTTAAAGCTTGCATCCAGTTCAACCAGTGACCTTTAACTGATTATGAGACAGATTAAGAACAAGTAAACCCTTCATCTTCCCAAGCTCATAGGGAAAAAGCCTTAACTTGATACCAGAAAGATCAACCTTCTGAACAACCTCACCCTCTTCAATTTTCTTCAATAACCCAATAACTCCTTCATTCCCTTCATCGTCTCCTTTCATGGACTTGTCCACAAACACCCCATAAGCCTCCACCAACTTCTCCTCAGCAACCCTTAACTGCTTCACACACTCCTCATGCATATCATCCACCCTCAACAAAGCCTGATAAACGGCTACTTGGATTTTGGCACGTGAAGCAGCGACGGAAGAAGGATCGGGACGAGGACTGAGGGTGTTGAGAAAAGAGAGTGTGTGTGTGATGTTGATATTGGAAATGAGGTTGGTGAGTGAAGATAACAGTTTGGTGTTGTTAATAAGAGGGAAACGGGTTAATAGATTTTGATGAAGGGAAAATTGACGGAAGGAATTGGTTTGGGTTGGAGAACGGTAGGAGTATGTATGGAGATGAAGGGTTATGTTGTTTGTGTTTTTTTTTTGACAGAGAGTGAAGGGAGTTGTGAGGTGTTAGGAAGAGAGAAGAGGGATTATGCGTAGAGAGAGAGGGAAATGAATTGAGAGTAAAGGGTCACTGTTTGCTTTTTGTTCTTGTTTTCTTTTCTTTTTGAGTAGACAAAGAGATAAGTGTCTAAATAGGAAGATTCAGAGGAAAAAATATCAGATTTTCAAATCGTTTGGCAATTTTTTGTATCGATCCGTAAATTCTGCCAGCAACCAATGAAAATCAAGCATAGTATATTTAATATTTTTTGTGACTAAAAGCCCTTTAATGACAAAAATAAAAATAAAAACTTGAAAGTATAAAAAATAATTCAATTTAAAATAGTTTTTTTGAATTTTTCTGAATAAAAAATAAAGACCCAAAATGACCAAAAATGATAAAAAACGGACGAAAATTTATCCGAAAAAATAAAATGAACACATTAAAATAATCTACATGTCACAAAGATTAAAGAAAAAAAATATTCAAGAAGTCAAAAATCAAAATAAAATAATAATAAAATATCAGACTAAACAGACGTTTAAGGTTAAAAACGAGACTTCGAACTGTACCGAAAAAATAAAGCGAGCATACCGTCATAATCTACGCGAAGCGCAGATTCATAAAATGATCGGTAAAAGGTGAAAACTTGAAATATTTTCTCGCTACTTTCCCGCACAGTGTCGAATCGCTTTTAATAGTCTGTCTATAAAACTGAAATATTTTTATTATCGACATATAAACAGCTTGGGGCAATGCAAGAAAATAGTAAACAGATAAAAATGAATGAAGTGAAATGCCGGGTATTTTACAACCGAAAGACGATGCAAACTTTGATTTAAACTGACTTTTTCTGATCAACTTAAATACGACTAATGATGCAAAATATGATGAATGAAGATATTTACTAATGATTGTGACCAAATGACAAAATATGGTATGAATGTGCGACTGAAAAAAATAGGGGCGAAATTAAGGGTGCAACGGTGTGCCTTGATGAATCAGTCTTCGAGAATCCACAATCAACCGTACTTCTGGCTTGGGAGACTCAAAACCTTAATTGAGGCGCGACACCTGATGCTCTTGATTCAGACCTGTCTCTGCACATGAAACAAAAGAAAACATGAACATACACCTTTGTATGCGATTAGAAATTAGTGATACATAGGCTAAAAAATGTTCAAAACACTTGACAATCTTCGCATAGTCAATGCTCGAAGGTGAGAGGTTAAAACCGACCGTATTTTGTGACCTCGACTTATGTTAAAAAATGCAAAAATAAAAATGGGATCTTAGGTCAAAAATTGGGGTACAACAGCTGCCCCTATTTAAGTTTCTTCTATCTGGAGATATGAAGATTGGGATCTTCATTTCGACGAGATTGAAGGGACTTAAATATAGAATACACAATTTTTGGCCTTAAGATACCGCGATTATGTTCATGATATGATATGAATGTAATGCTCTGAATTTTATGGGGAATGACGCCATATGAGACAGACTATGCTGGAGAAACCAAGCACATTATACAGTAATCCCACAGAGGAAGTGGTTGTAACTCCACTGGGGAAACAGAGTCATAGACTTCAAATGAGAGATTCTTGAATGATTTACATCAGTGTTGATACTGGAAAAGAAATGATTTACATCAATACGAAGACTGGAAAAAGAAATGATTTACATCAGCACTGTGGCTGGAAAAGAAATGATTTACATCAGCACTGTGGCTGGAGATAAACATCTCTGATTTCTGAATTTTACCAAGAACGGTAACACATTTCTTCTTTAACCAAGATATCGCTTGAAAAGGATAAAATAAAAATTTCCCCACAGAACTTTTCCGAAGAGGTGTCGTTTGCATTATTGTTGGGGATACACAAGCTGCTCAAATAAAGAGGCCGCCACTTGCTACCTTTCAAAGGTGTCAATAACATACAAGTTGCTCATGAAGAGACCGCCGCTTGCTGTTTTTTCAAAGATAATAATAACACACAAGTTGCTCGTGAAGAGACCGTCGCTTGCTGTTTTTTCAAGAAAACAATAACACACAAGTTGCTCATGAAGAGACCGCCGCTTGCTGTTTTTCAAGAAAACAATAACACACAAGTTGCTCATGAAGAGACCGCCGCTTGCTGTTTTTCAAGAAAACAATAACACACAAGTTGCTCATGAAGAGACCGCCGCTTGCTGTTTTTTCAAAGATAACAATAACACACAAGTTGCTCATGAAGAGACCGCCGCTTGCCGTTTTTTCAAAGATATCAATAACATACAAGTTGCTCATGAAGAGACCGCCACTTGATGTTTTCAAAGGTAACAATAACATACAAGTTGCTCATGAAGAGGCTGCCGCTTGCTACTTATAACCCACAAGCTGCTCATGAAGAGCTGCCACTTGCTGTCTTCAAAGAATATCAAAGCACACAAGCTACTCATGAAGAGTTCGCCACTTGTTGCCAATAACCCACAAGCTGCTCATGAAGAGCTGCCACTTGCTGTCTTCAAAGAATATTAAAGCACACAAGCTACTCATGAAGAGTCTGCCACTTGTTGCTTATAACCCACAAGCTGCTCATGAAGAGCTGCCACTTGCTGTCTTCAAAGAATATTAAAGCACACAAGCTACTCATGAAGAGTCCGCCACTTGTTGCTTATAACCCACAAGCTGCTCATGAAGAGCTGCCACTTGCCATTTTTCATACAAGCTGCTCATGAAGAGCTGCCACTTTCCGTTTTCCAAAGAAAAATAACGTACAAGCTACCCATGAAAGGACTGCCACTTGCCGTTTTTTCGAGGTGTCAATAATATACAAGTTGCCTCGGGAAGAGACTGTCGCTTGCTGTTTGTCAAGAGTATCCATAACACACAAGTTGCCTCATGAAGAGACTGCCGCTTGCTGTTTCCCAAAAAGATACCCATAAAATATCGTGAAGATATTGCTGGAGGTGAGAATCAATAATTTCATCGAGGATGGACAAACTGCTCATGAAGAGACCGCCATTTGTCGTAGAGAAATCAGAAATAATCAAACTGCTCAAATAAAGAGTCAGTCGCTTGTTGTCATGTCGATATTCCATAAGAAGGTTGTGATAACACTACTGGGGAATAAAGTTCATCTTCAATGGGGAACCATGAATAAATCCTTCTTGAGGAGACCAAGTATTTACGTTGCAAAATAAATGCACTCTCCATCTAGGTTTCACAACCTAGAGATATCCACAGGGTATCGTTCACAAGAGACACAGCTCAATCCAGGAATAAACTGGAGAGAAAACAGTCAAACAAGACTCCACCCAATGAGGAAATAACTCAAACGGGGATTTATCCTATCCAGAGATGGAAAAGGAAAGCTAAAGCAAGATTCTTCCACGAGAGTTAACTCAGTGGGGAATTAGAAAGAAGGCACACTTTATGCTTAAGTCGACACTCTATTTGGAAAGATCAAATATGTTATTTGAATAGACATAACCAAGGTGTACGAACTCAATGACATCAACAAATACAACTGTGCATGCATGATGCAAGTGTGAATGAATAAATGAATGTCATGTATATGCTGACAAAACAGATAGGGGAGATAGACAGAAGATGATAAGACGTCCCAGTACAACCCGACGCTCAGCTAATCTCAACAAAAGGGGAACATTACTGGAGGTAAAAACAAAAGCCATCATTGGAGCAAAGTCCTTTTACAAGGCTTAAATCTCTTTGGAGAGTAAGATATTTTTTGGTAGAAAACCCAAAGTCTAGTCTTCTATTGCAAACAATCCATTGAAAGGATAACAACACAAACAAAGTTTCAGCTGGAAAGAAGTCTTGATTAGCTGGAGATACTGGGAACACCACCCTCTGATCATGTGTGCAAAACATATCACATATCAACAAATCTGGATTGCCCCTGGAACTAATTTTGGATGCCCCAAGTTTACTGCTGATAAGCTGCATGTTGCACGATAATTCTGGCGAATAGCTTCACTTCTAACATGCCCCAAGCTATCTGGTTGATGAGGAGAAATCGTCTCAAGAGGATTTTACAAAAGACCTGGCATTCACCATGCTCTGGTGTCTTCAAACTCTTAGAGGAATTCATCAAATCTCGACGTGATTGCCCCAGATTGACTGTAGTTGGCACAACAAAGTCTTCAACTTTTGCCCCAATAAAGGGTAAACAATTTGGGAAAGCATTAA